TGTTTGAAAATAGGAAATAAAATATAACAAGTATGCTTTTATGTCCTTATTTATGATGATATCACAAACTCTTTTTTTCTAGTTTTTAAGCTTAAGTAAAGTGCATTTATTTAATATCACTGTCATAAGGTGTCCAGCTAGCTTACGGGAGATTCAACACATCTACCTCCCTCATTTGGTCAAAAAGCTATGCAATCAATGCTGAGAGTCTGAGACTAAAGTACTCATAAAGAAATTCCTTGCAACCTGCCCCATATTTTAAACTTGACAATGGTAGGAAAGGATTTGAAACTCAGACAAATATTTACAAATCACAAGCCTGTATCCACAAACACTCCAGATTTTATCTCTAAATTTTCAGAGGAAAACCATGCACCAAAAAAGGTTATGAAGATGGATCCCGTCATAAAACACAATATAGAAATGTAAACAAACCAGCAATTGAAATTTTAATGATCTCCAAGTCTACCTAATCATAAATGCATTGCAAACTAATACCCATTTAAAGTAAAGTATTCTATATCCACTCTCCCATTTACAGCTTGATATTTAGTAACAAGACTGATTTTAATTAGAACCATGTCTTACTATTAGGCAAACTAAAACTGACTGAAAGTACTCCACATCCACTGTCTTCCATTTACGGCTCAATATTTAGTAACAAGACTGATTTAATTAGAATTATGCCTTATTATTAGGCATCTCAAATGCACATATTGGAACCACTCACAACATTTTTTTTATTTTCATAATTTAGGTTGACAACAAAAGCATATTCCCAAATGCTACCAAAACGGAAAAGCCCAAATGCCAGGATAATTTTCAGCAATTAATTGATGTGGATTTATGTCAAACAACAGGAAAGAGACACCAAACATATAAAGCTAAGCCTCAATATTATAAATCATAGTAGTTAATAGTGGTCATAGTGGCTGCTATCGTGGAGGTGCAAAGTGGAGTGACAGGGTGCTGATATCCTGTCGTGTTGAGTTTCAATGTAGAGGCCGCTGCGCCAAAAATCGTGGCCATCGCAGCGGCTTTTTCATTTCCTAGGTCAAATCCCACTTTACCCTTTCTTTCTAAATGTTGGACAATTTTTAAGAGGGGTAATCTTGGGATTTCACCCCTTTTTTACATTTATGGTATCTTCTCCCTGGTCGAGCCTTAACATTTCCTCCCTTTCTGTTTTTCTTGTGCGACATGCTTTCGCTTCCTCTTGCTTCTCTGGTGCATCATCGAAAGCACCATTTTCCGACCAACTTCTTGTCATCTTCTTTGGCGATATGTTTTGACTTGACCCAGACATTTCTAGTCATTTTTATTTCCAGTTGTCTTCTTCATCTTCGGCGAATTTTCCAATGTAACCCAATCTTTTTCCAATGACTGAACACTCTGTTTTCTACTTACCTTCGCTGTTTATTATGGATTTCCTTCTCTGTTATGTTCCAAATTTAAAGGCCTAATACAAAAGCAATGACTGCTCCCCCAATCAGTCACAGGGAGATACCTCTGGTTTCTTTATTATGTTGTTATTAACATTCAAACATGTGTTACGCCTTCAAACTTTTACTTTTGATCATTAATTATGCATGTCTTTAATTTGTGTATCAATTTTATATTTTTCAGCATATATATGTGCAACTTAATTTATATTAGGTAGATTTAAAACTTCAGAATAGCAATCATCCTGCTATACGCTATCCTACTATTAGCATTTTTGGTGTGGGTCACTCCCCTTCGTTATCCAGGATCGACTATTATGTTAGAAACTATTTCAAGATAGAGAAAAAAAAAATAAACAGACAATAGACAGTTCAGATTCAATTACCGAATCATTAGTTCATAATAGATCTCCTTCAACTCCAGCAAAGAAGGTATATCTGCAGGAGGCTCTTCAACAACATTATCACCTTCCTTAGGCTTTTTCTTTTCCTTAGATGTATCAGCATCAAATACTCTTGGACTAATTTTTCTTGACAGTATCTGTGCACGAACATAATCTTGACGGTCTAGGCACAAACGAACCTACACAATTTGGTGTAGAAGATTCTCAAATGAGCAACTCAATTGTAACACAAAAAATTAATGGCATACCATAAACAAAGAGAAGAACGACTCATACTTGTTCGAGAATGAACGCAATTTTCTCAGTTTTTGCCATGGCACCAAAAGTTTCCACCTGTTGACATTAGCCATAAATAAACTGAAAACAAATTAGTTACATCCAAAAGCCAAAGATATCAATAAACGATTGAAATGAGACATTCCCACTGACCGCAATTTCTTGCATCAAATCAGCAGCTTCAGCTATAAGCCCTTGTTCTTCCTTGATCTTTGCAAGTTTCTTGATCAATCGAGCTCTCTCGATTTCCACATATATCTAACAAATGATGCAACACATAAACATAAATCATGCTTCTAATAAGATGGACAATGCTATACTTCTTTAAATTGGAAACAGTAAGTTCAAACTCCACATTCTCACCTTCCCTGCAGATACACTGTTCAGCGTTTTTATGAGTTCTATACGAGTTTCAACATCTGGTGTCTCATCGATGTATTGCATAGCCTGCTGGACCATAGCTGTTACAGCCTGTGAGCATCCAATATTCCAATAGACTCGTTAATAACATACAACACCACATTCCATGTACCATTGACAAAAACAACTATACAACATCTCGACTAAACTCCTGCCATTGAAGAGCAACACATGTGTTCCTTAGATATCCAACTCACATATAACTCTACATGATAGGCAAGTAACAATTCTGATTGAAAACAGTGAAGTCAAAATCAATGAAAATAAAAAAGACCTATACTCTCACCCTGATTTACAAATCGTTTGTAAGCAAACACTAAACAATTTCCATTCTAAATGAACAAACAACCACCATTTTTTTTAAGTGAACTAAAACCCTAAACATCTTTGCACAGAGCGATTCACGTAACCTATTAGGTTTCTCCGCATAATAAATAAACAAACATAATTATGTTCAGTGAGTACTTGTTTAAGCTGTCCACGTCGTTTGGACAAAACGACAATCTGGTCATTGAGGATTTTCCAGGCTCGCGCTTCGAAGCAGAGTTGCAAAATGTCAGTGACGGCCTTCCTGGTACCGGCGACGTCACCGGCGAGTCTCATCTGCTTCTCTACGTTCAGCAATTGCTCTATCGCCGCGTCTAAATTCCCCGTATTCGCCTACGCAATATTTCAGAAGAACCGTTAGTTCCAATGATCGGAATCGCTGAATTTCAGTTCAGAGAAAATAAAAATAAAAAACCCTATGGCAGATGTTATTAGCAGAGTGAAGAGAAAGGGAAAAAAAAAAAAAACAATTATTATGCAAAACTGGTAGCGGAAGTGACGGAAAAAAATAGTAGAAAACGCATGCAGCAAGAAATCATAGAGATCTGGAATGAGTTCGATCGATGAATGAATAGAGTGAAGGGGCAAACAGCATGAAGGAGGGTACCATGGTTGGGTTGTGGGCGAGAGAGAGATCTCCGAAGGAGTCGTCAATTATTGAAAATTGAAAATGGAAGGAAAAGTGAAAGTGAATAGAAAAGAGGGTGAAGAAAACAATGGACGCTACTTTTATACCACAAGCCCACCTAGGCCCAACAATCTTAGCAGCCTTGCCCAATCGGGCTTCGTTAGTTTCATAAGCAGCAAGGCTTCTGGACCAAACTACAAAACTTTATTTTTTGTTTATAAAAAAATGATGTGTATATAACCATGACAAGAAAATGTGTCTATTAATAAATAAATATTTTCAGAAGAAAATTGTGAAAAATGTGCATACCTTAAAAAAACAAAACAACGCGCCATTGGGGGAGTTGGAAGTTGACTAGTAAGATAATCTATATAAAGCATGTCAATAAATACTGCAAAACAATCCTCTCCATTTACGGTCTTATGCAAGACAAATTTAAGCTAATAGGGTAGATTTAGCGAGGCAAAATTGAGTTGTTTTTGTGTATTTAACAGTGAAATGTGACACGTTTATAGCTCAAGTGAAAAATAATTAACTATGAAAATAGATCACAAAAATTTACCTAATTGAAAAGAAAGTTAATTATGTCTCGATAATACGTCATCATTATATTTTATATAGCACGTTTAAATGATATTTATTATGTTATGCCTTTAATTGTCGAGCGGTAATAGAAATGAAATTAATTGACAATTTCAAACATTAAAAATTAATATGTTATTGTACTTATTTTATAAATCATTTTAAATTATAATAGAACAATAGAGACAATATGTAAGTTTTTTTTTTATAATTCTATAATTTTTTACATTAATTAATCCTTTTCTTAAGTTAAAGATTAGAGACTGAGTGTCTCAAAGTTTAAAAGGATTTAAGACTAATTCTATTTTAAAACAATATGAAAATATTAAATTAATATACCATGCTCCAAAATAAAGAGGATCACCCTATCACAAACCCAACAAGGCCCATGGAAACAAAAGAAAGTGTGAAAAATGATCATATGCATCTGGATCAAAAAATAAGAACGAGCAATGCTTAAACATTAGGCTAGAGAAGCAACAAGAACCCATAAAAAAAAAAAAAAAAACCCATAAACGTCTCAAGCCTCATAACTGAACCATTCAAATTTAATTTGACCCAAAACATAAATAAATGAAATTTATTTCACATTTAAAAAATAATTCACAATTGGAAGTAAAATATTTCATTTTAACTTATCAAGTTATAAAAAAAATTTAATCTCCATTTTTTAAAGTTACCTTTTAATTTAATGTTTTGTTAGTAATTTATATAAAAAAGTATTATTTAAAAAACTCATGGATTAAATAAATTATCTGCAAAGCAAAAAATTAAAGTCTGGTTCATAAATTAAATTAATTTTGTTGTACAATTGAAAATAAGATTGATAAGATTTATAATTTAAGAACATTTAATAACAATAAAAAAGAAGGCTAATTTCATATTCTATAGGTCCCGTCTCTCTCCCCCAAGCAGCAGTAGAAGCAACTGAAACTTGAAGGGTTCCACAAACAACAAACCCTTTTCCATTTTCTTTTTCATTTCGAGAAAATGAAAAACGAGTTCAGAAGAATCTTTCTACCTCCGAGTCCGAAATATCCATAAAGTCGGAGGAGCAACAACACCACGGAAACCGAGCAGCGTTGGAACTGTTATTTAACTTCTCACTTCAACAAGTGTTTGGTTCCTCAAACAACCCCTCATTTATAAACTCGCGCTATACGAATTTGAAATGAGGTTGAACGAGAACGCTATGAATTGGATTGGCGTAACAGTTGGTGGCCTCGTTGGCATAGTTGGTGCCATATTCGCACTCAGAGATTCCAAAATGGCGATTCCGTTTACCTTGTCATGGTCCTTTGGTAGAGACAATAGCTTCCAGAAATCGCTGTTGGTTCCCGGTTTACAAAACCTACACAACAACTGTTTCCTCAACGTCGTTTTGCAGGTAAGGTTTCGCTATGGATTTCTATGCTTTTTTTGTTGGACAGAATCGTTATTGTTATTTCTCTGTTACATGCGGTGAGTTGAAATCGTTGCAGGCTCTCGCTAGCTGTTCTTGCTTTAAGAGTTTTCTTTGCAGCGTGATTGGAGAGTGCGGGACTAAGGAGGTGGATGAAAACATGCCCCTTGCAATTTCTTTGGCTGCTTTAGTGGAAGGTTCTGGCGCTTTATTGAGTCTGTTTGTGTTTCGTTTTGCAATTAGCATTTTGAATTACTTGATGCAATGGAGTTCCCTTTAGGAGTTGTGCTTAATGAAAATTATGGTTATTAGTCGATCTGTCGGGGTTCATTAAGGGCATGCTTGCGAGTAAAATTTTCAAGTGGAACGGAAGAGAGGACAATTTAATTTTTTTTCAGATTAAGAGATAAATATAATGTTTATAATAAAAATGAAAGGTTGAGACACTAAGTTTATGATAATCTATCATTTTATTTATTTCATTTGTATGAAATTATAGATGAAAAATTTGCCCTTCCTACACTTTTCTTCCAAAACCCTACTACCAAAAATACCCTAAAACAAATTATGAAATTTATTAAGCACTGCTGCACTGGTGAGTTTAGTGTTCTGTATGTGCAGAGCTGAGTTCAGTTAGTGCAGAAACGGTTATACTGAGTCCACAAAAAGTGATGATTGCCATGTCCAATTACATTCCAAACTTTAATCTGACTAGCCAGCAGGTATAATCCTCTTGATTTAGTAACTGAATCATGCTTTTGTTCTCTGTCTCACTCTCATTCTTGTTTAGTTTTTGTCTTGTAGGATGCTGCTGAAGCGTTTCTTCATCTGTTATGCTCTTTGAGAGAAGAATTTGGAGGTTGTTATGCTCCAAAGATGAGTTCTTTAGCAGACATTTTTGCTTCTAATAATAGAATTCTTACTCCAATACATAGGGAATGGCTGAGTGAGCAGGAGAGATGGCAGCAGCTCTTCCTTGGACCTTTTGATGGGATTCTTAGCAGCTGCCTAACCTGTCAAAGCTGTTCATCCCAGGTACACAAGGCTTTTCTCTTTGGAATGTAATAAACTTTTCCCAGTAATTGCACATATGCTGCATGGTCCTTATTTCTAATATTGGACTGCATTCATTGAAAACTATCACTTAACAATTATGCATCTAAGAAAAAACTCAAATTTGGTTCTACCTATGTATGACTTTTGATTTTCTGGCATTTTAGCATTAACATGTTGAGACAGTGAATGCTAAATGGAAATGCTGTAAAGGATAAATTTTGAGGCCACGATGTTAGCTGACTTAGCCCAGTAGTTTGCTGGACTTATTGTTGCCTGCAGGTTCTGAAATGCTAAAGTCACTTAATTACTCCAAACATGCAATCCAAAATACTAATTACCTGATAGTGTAATTTTTGGTTGGTCCAGGTCTGTGGTCTGTGTGTTGATGTTAATTGCTTTTCTTTGATCATGATAGGCTGGTGTTGGATATTTAGTTGTTGATTACAGTTAACTGTACATAAACATTTACTTTGGTATATAGCATTCCTCTTTAGATATTTTCAGTTTTAAGTGTGATAATGTTTCTTTGTACAAGCCATGTACTGTTATTATTTTTCAACTAAATGTTTGTTCACTGCAGATCTCAATTAATTTTGAACATTTTGATTGTTTGCCTCTTTCACCTCTGCTTAGTGATAGTTCCACCATGACCATAGTAAGTTTAAAGAATTCTTGTCGCTTATACTTTAGTTTCAATGATATTGCTTTGACAATTGAAGTGCTGTATGCCTCCGTGGCATCCTGATTGTTACATGTGACATGTTACAGAGAGTTGGTTGTACACTGGTGGATTGCCTGAAACAGTTCATTGCTGCTGAACATGTTGAAAATTATCACTGCAGCCACTGTTGGCATAATGCTGCAATCAAGTATCTCTCTGTAATGGAAGGAAGTGAGGTTGTCCCTGAGTGAATCTTTTATTTATTTTGAGATGGATAAGGGCAGCTTAGATATGCATAGACGTTGGTTGCTGAATCTAGCAATTGATTGTTATTTATGGTGCTATGTGATTTTTGTGCTGTTGTTGCTCAGGTAGAACTTGAAAAGCTAAGGAGATGTTCTGACCATGAAATCTGTGATTGTCGAAAAATGAATAATCTTGAGAAACTACCCTGGTCAAATAGGTTTTCACATACTTTGAAGCAGCTAAGTATTGCTCGGTGTCCAAGGGTATGCACACACACATTCTGATTTGGCATCTCTAATTTTCTCAAGAATCTGTTCTTTTGCATTTCAATGTCTCAAATACTGAAACATGATTATCTGGATGCAGATTTTATGCATCCAATTGAAAAGAGTTCATATGAATTATTTTGGAGAGCTAGTCAAACTGCAGGTACTTGAATCTCTGACATATTGGATCTGTCTATATTTTTTTTGAAGTCCCCTCCCAAACAAAAGTTCCCCAGAGCAGTATATGAGTATTCATTGAATTTCACAGAAGATTTTTTTTGTCATGATGATGGTGATGCAGGGCCATATTTCTTTTCCATTGATTTTGGATGTGTTGTCATTCACGACAACTAGGCTGGGACTAAAGATACAGGAGGTAGACGTACAGAGTTTCCCATTAAATCTGAAGTATAACAAAAGAAACACTTTGCCAAATCATTATATTCTGCAATCTGAGATGAGAAGTTTGAAATCCAGTAGCATTTATGGAGCATCAAAGGAACAGATGTATTCAGATGATCTAATTGACAGTGGATTAGACTCCTCTACAAGTGGACAGACACTTCGTAGTGAAGCTGTATTTCCCTGCTCTGGCTCTTCCAAAAGCATTCACTTAGACACACATATGCAATGCACTGACAAGGTTGGTTTATAGTGATGCATTTAGTTTATAGTGAAGTTATAAATCCTATATCCTCATAGGCTTCATATATCAATCTGTCTGTGACTTTACTTGTCAAGTATGAACTATAATTTTATTTCCTCTCTAGGTAATTTATCTCATGCCATGATTGTAAACAAGAATTTTCATGGCAAGCCAGTGTTTTTCATCAGATTGTGCTAAAATCAAACCCAAAGCATTCTACTAATTAATTAGGAGGATAATGCTACTATATAAAGTGAGTTCATTGGACCTTTAATGTATCCTTTCTACTCTCCTTTGCGGCTATGCCCAACACTTGTTGCAGTGCTTGTTGAACATGAAATGAATTTTTTTTTTCTGGAATAATTTTAAAAATGGAAGGAGGGTAATATGATAGTGACTGGTAGTGGAAGTTCGTTTTAACTTCTATCTATGTTTTGCTTTATATAGGTGGATGGTTCTTGTAATTTAGTTTCTCAAGAAACCTGTTTGTATCAACTTGTTTCTGTTGTGGAACACTTTGGAAGAGCTGGAAGCGGGCATTACACTGTTTACAGATGTGAGAGAGTGGAGCCCTCAGAAGCTGGCTCTGATGATTACTCCAATCAAACTCCAATGCACTGGTTTTGTGTTTCAGATTCTCAAGTGCAGGCTGCTTCAGAGGAAGATGTTCTTTCCAGTGAGGCCAGCTTACTTTTCTATGAGAGAATTCCAGAGAACTGAAAAAAATCCTTGGAAATTCTTGTTTCAAGAAGTGCATTGGTTGACATGTTCAGAGTCACGAGACTTCGAAAGTCCATGGTGTGGCATTCTTAGACCAGAAGCGGTATAAGAACATGTGGAAGCCGTTCCAAAATGCTAGACAAGGTTCAGTACACTGAAAAAAGAACAGCCACGTTTGAGCTTTTGAGAAGGGTAATTACAATGAAGGTATAAACAATCACCAGGAATGGTTATTCGGTTCTTTTTGTGTACTCAGAATGGTTATTCACTTGTCCCCTTGTTGTAGTTATACCCATCAAAAGCTCTTTAAAGTATCCCTAAAAAGTGATTGTCCCAACCGCTACAGTTGCAGCGGAAAGCTTAAGCTTATGTTAAAACTTGAAAGGGTGGTTGACCGGGAGCCATGCGTAGGGAATGTGGTTTTCAGTGCTGGGATTATTGCTGTCTGCTGAATGTTCGTTGTCCTTACCGTTCCCTAGAAATGCCTGCGATAAATTACCCCTTTGACCAATTATTTTATGGAAAATGCTTACTACCACATTAAGAAATTAAAAGTAATATTTTTCATTAAAAGATATAACAATACAAATATCCTGTAATTTTGTATTCTTACATAATTTTTAATAAAAATAATTATTTATTGAATTTTTATCTAGAATTTTAAGGACATTAGTGAGCAAAACTCTTATCGTATAACTGCGTGTCAGCCTTCATCGAAATTTTGGGAGTTATGAATTTTCAAGGCATTGATTAGAACTTAGTAGAATAAAGCGTACTTAAGTATTATATCTGAAACACTGTAAAATTATAGATTTCAAGTTAAGGGCACTAACATGCTAGTGGATAAAGAAAGTTATGAACTATGTTGCCTGTGATGGAGTTGATTGCGCCATTCAATTTCAGTATTACATTTAGTAATTAAATAAAAAAAGATTTTACAGTTTTATTATGTCAAAAAATGTTTTAGACTACAATTTCATTTATGATTAATGGCCGATATATATATAAGTTGATTGCGCCATTCAATTTCAGTATTACATTTAGTAATTAAATAAAAAAAGATTTTACAGTTTTATGATGTCAAAAAATATTTTAGACTACAATTTCATTTATGAATAATGGCCGATATATATATATATATATATATATTGGTGATATATTAAATTTCAGTTAATCTTGTGTGGTCTATTTGGGTATGTAAACATTATGGGTTTGGATCTTGGATGTGCCTACCTGGTCCGTCAATTCACATAATTAATCTGGGTCTCGTTAAGACGGCAGCATGTTTCTTATAGGTCTCTTGTCTGAATATGATCTTCCTATGCTAGCGTTTGGTTGCGGGACAAAGACATGGAGGTATGCGTATCATATTTGGTTAGTGTCTCGCTAGAGAGACAAAGACACAAAGGACATAGGGGATACAAATTCGAAGGACACTAATGTACTTCCAAAAAAAAGAGACACTAGTGTCTCAGCTCGACACAGAGGGTAAATTTGTAAAAAAAGAAACACTAGTATCTCTGTCTTTATTGTCTCTGTCTCTAGTGTCCAGGAACGGTAACCAAACGCTGCCTATAAATGAGAAGAAATGAGTAAAAAAGTCAAATCCTAGATAGATTGTCTCCCCTGCAATTACCTTATTATAAATAAAGGACTCAGATATATAGTCTTTTATTTACTCATTCTCTTTTTTTTATGTGAATCCGAACTTGAGCATTGGAAATGCATTTGCAAAATATTAGGAATTCTTAGCATCATATTTAGGCTTGCAGTGAGAAATATTATTCTTGTAAAAGTTGGTCTTTTTGGAATCAAATAAAACATAATCTAAGCCACTAGGATTAGGTTAATAGTGAGGGACTTGAGTAACATTATTCTTACGTGCACAAGTCAGAATTTTCTTCCACTATTAATATCATTTAGTGTGTGTTTGAGGGGAGGGGGGGGTTTAAATGTTTGCAAACTTGATTTAAATTATCTTACTTAGGAAATTTTAATTTCAATTAAAAGTGCGTTTAAAATGAAGTGATTTTTGTTGAAAAATTTTATCTTCAATGAAAGTTTGTAATAAAATTTAGCATAAAATTCTCAATTTGCGGAAGCTACATTTTTAACTTCTAAACAAATATTTTTTTAAGAGTAAAATCAATTCTAAAAATCTTAATAAGTAAAATTTGGTCAAAATCTAATTTGTAATGTTAAATCAATGATCTTTTTGGAAAATCAACTTTATTACCAATTTTTTTTTTATCATAACTGGTTTTACCATAATAATCTCCTTACAAACCAACAAGGGTATCATACAAATAAAATATGTATTTTTAACATAAAATTCTTCACATAATACGCATACGTTTTTAGAGACATTCATGTTTCTATTAATAGGCACTTCAGTAATTTGAACGGGGAGTTTTCACACTTTTATAAGAAATCCATATTTTTCTAATTCAGCGAAAAAACCCAAAAATGTTAAATAATTTTGTGCTTGCCATAAGAAGTGGAGGAAACACTTCTTGCATGGAAAATATTTTACTTTTAAGCTTGCGTAATTTGTATCACTCCTTGAGAAGTGGATGATTTTCATATGAGGAGGTACAGTTCAATTTGTTTTGTTATTTCTTAAATAAAATCATGACAGGAACAGAAGACAAATAATTTTATAAAAAAAAGATATTTGGGTAAATTTGGTGAGATATGTACACACAGTTTGAATAATTTTAAAAGTTACTTTATAACTAGGATGTTATACAGTAGGTTGCAAATGGAGTATGTGTTTGTAAATTTATGCAAGTATCACTTTTCTAAAATTTGCTTAGTGATCTCGCACACGTGTACAGATGCATATTTTATCCTGTCATCTTTAATATACAGTATTTTCCCTATTCTTTCGTGTAGGAAAGACTGTGATTTTCTTATCGGGTATTCTAGATAATTACAAGTTGTAAATTTGCTAGTATAAAATAAATTGTAGCACAAAATTGCAATCAATTCAATTGTGAATCGGTGGCTTCCTTCTGGCTGGAGTGTAATCCATTGAGAACACTTCACCCGAATTATCTGCATCTTTTGGCTTGAATAACACGTGATCGTGTACTGTTTCCTTATGATTAGCTGAACTAGCATCCTTAGTGCTAGTGGCTATATTGCTTTTTTCTCTGTGTGTTCGTGCTGCATATACACAAACAACATGTGTTAAGATTAAAAATAACAATTAAATTTCATACAATATAAAGTGAAACAACCTGAGAGTCTTTTGAATCCAATGCAAGACTATGATCTACATAACAAAATATATACCTCTAACTTGGATAGAGATGAAGCATAGGAGTATGAAAACCACAAGTATAAAACGCTTGTTATGTACAACAACCATATTAAATAGTTCACTCTTGTGTGGTGTATAACAAGTTATTGATCTGAATATACAATATACATGTCATTTCGGACCCTTATATAGACCCATATTAGCAACACCTAGCTTGTTGTAGTTGTGGGAAGATATTCAGTATCATAGTGGTAGTTTATACATATAAAAGAAATGGTCTACGAAGGTTAACATCAATGTCTTCTGCTGTCTGGCCTTGAAAAGACGGGTATGTGCTTTTGGGGAAAGGCTTAAACAAGAAAAATAGAAATCCATGACATTCATGAATGTCACCCTACGTGTATTTGGGCCATTTCAGTTTTTCTTTTATTTGTCAACTACTTCCTATACATTGTATTAAATACTGTTCTCCAACTCTTCCATATGTAGCTTTTCTTTCTGAAAATTTAGAGCTAAATTAGTACTTTTGGTAGAGAGGAGAGAAAATGAGGTAAAAATAGAAAAAATAAAAGTTTAAAAATTGGAAAATTTTTTCAAATTTGTTTTTAATGTTATCTTTTAATTAAATAAAAGAGAATACACTGTTATATGTACCTTTTTTTATTTATTTAAACAATTTATTAATGGATTTATCTTTTCATCTTATTTTGTGGTAGAAAAATAGGAGCTATTATTATCATTTTTATATAATGATTATTGTTTGTTATTTTATTTAATATTATTACCATTAGTAATTTTATTAACAAAATAAAAAATATTTAAAAGAAAAATAATTTAAAAGAGTGATATTAAACACTTTAAAATGACAATAAACTCACCTTAAAGAGGAAGAACATATGAAGAACACAAATAAAAAGCCACTCCAATTCCAGTACTTCCATTATTTACTTACAATCCCATGTCTAAGAAAGAACATAAAAAAAGAGGAAAAATCCATATGAGCACACTTTTAAATAATACTTTTAGAGCAGTAGATAATCAAACTCCAGCTGCAGACTCTTTGACTTCTTAATCTCACCAATTTTCCATAAGTGAACAAATTCCTTGCAATTTAATTTACGTTATTAAGTAACAAAATACCGGCTAGTTAAGAAATGCACCCACCTCTTTAATTTACCACAAGATTGATAATAACATCAGTGATTCGTGTCAAACTATCAATATCTAACTGAAACTTGATTGAGGAAATGTTGTCTATAATCTTTATCTGATTCATTAAATTGTGCCGGAAAATACTGACAAAATTAATAATACATTCAAGCGTTCTAAATTGATGCAGGGTCATCTCATCTCTCACAATTGCTACCCATTTTAGTGTGTTTTACTGTTTATATACCCTTTGCAGTCTGAAGCATATTACCTGACCTTGTCAATCTCTTCACATACCAATATAAATGTATACTCCCACCAACCACATACATTGTTTTTGGACTTCAAATATCAAAAATTTCCCCTCAAACATTTTCTAATTACGTAAATTTTTGTTGTCTTGTACCCATCAACGTCTTCGGTAATCAGGGGCCCTTGTGGAGATAATAACTATCTAATTTGAGTAATTATTCAAATAATAAAATCACATTAAGTATGAGAAATAAGAAGATGTAATCTTAAGTATTTTATGTCTATCTATCTATATTAAATCTCAGTTTGTATGAGGACACTTGTCAACTCTTGCTTGTCTATTTTTCCTCTATTTTTAATGATAATTTTGTTATTTTTAGCCCATTATATAGTCATTTAGTAAGTATTTGTGGTGTTTCCTTTTTATATAAGAATATTTTGCAAGCGATCGACGGCAGTTACAAAACAATGAGAAGTTGTTGCACCCTTCATTTCATTTTTTACGTCGTTAATTGAGATTATTATTTAAGCTATAAAAATATTGTATTGATTGAATATGAAGAATTTTGAGACTTTGTAAAGTTATACTATATGGTGTACAACAAAGCAAACATTTTCTTTCTCTCTTTTTTATTAACTAAAATTATGATGACGAAAAACAATAAAAAAATAAATATATTACACCATGTGCTGTTTCTTTTCAGCTCCTTTTTTTAATCATCCTAAATCATACTCATACATTTTATATATTTTATTTCTTTTGATAACTTTGGATAATTTTGGCAAGTGTTCAGTGCCATTAGCAAAATAAGGAGAAATCGATCGTTCACATTACTTATAAACTATGAATAGTTTGAAGTCGTTACAGCACATTCATTTCGTTCCTGACATCGTTAATTAATTAAGATTATTCTTTAAGTTATAAAATGTTATATCAATTAAATATGAAGAATTTTGAAAGTTTGTAAAGTATACTATAATTGAAAAAAATATATTTTTGTTCTATCTCTTTTATTCACTAAAATTTATAATTAATTTTTTAATCAAATTATTTGGAAAGAGAATTTTGTAGTAATGTTTAAATTTTAAATAATGCTCCATAAAACTATTAATTAATGATCCTTATGATTATATATATATATATATATATATATATATATTCCTTAATTGAAATTAATATTATCAACTTTTCAAATTATTTTATTCAAGGTGTTTGATTAGAGAATAATAGAACAGAAAAAAAAAAAAGAAAATTAGTTTTATAAAATATTTTTATTCAGTTTAAAATTTTAGAGGAGAAGAGATTAAAATCTTTTCTTATTCAAATTTTTTCATTGATTGGACTATTTTTTTAATTTAATAAATATATTTAGTTATTTTAAATATATAATAATAAATTTATTTATTCTTTTGTATTCTCATTTCCTGTGAATCAAATAAAATATTTTTCTCTTTTACTGAAATCTCTTTCATTCCTCTTTTTTATTGAACTAAATAATATGTTAAATTAAATATTTTTATTTACATAATATTATATATATATATCATCAACTCATTCAAATCAATGTCACTTGATACCTCTGTATACATTATTGTATATATTAATTATTGGACAGAATTTTGATTGATAAACTTAATTTTGATAAGTAAGATACTATAAAGATTAAATATATAAAAAAATATAAAATTAGAGAAATAAAATCACACACAATAAAAAAATGTTAAAAGTCCAATTAAACAAAAAAATATAATACCACTAATTTAATTGTCAGTAACGAAAAAATCTATTATCAAGTATAAAATATTTTTTTAATGAAAATTTAGCTGGTATTTAAAAAAAAATGATAAAAATAAAGATTAGTTATTTTCATTTATCGTGCTCTCTCTTAATTAATTCAAAGTCACACTTACATATACAGGTACGTATTAGCATAGTGACCCTTGATTAGGACTTTGGAATGAGAAAAGGCACTACATATTTTAAATATGAAAGTTTCATTATAGGGCTTTTTAATTAAGAGATAAACGTTCTGCATTATTTGATAGCTAGCAAGTGGCAATCATTAATTCAATAGCCTTGGTGCTTAAGATGATGCCAAACATGCTTTACTATGTAGCACTGTATCACTTTGTCATATATAATGGTTATTTTGTTTGCTTTGATTGTATTATTTACGTAAGTAGGAGATTTGAGTAATTAATAATGGAGGATGGCAAGCATTAATGAATGGAGGGACAATACCCGACATTGGTGAGACTTCGATCATTTTCAGATAAGACAATGGACAATGTTTTTCTTGTTTGGAGGGGATTAAGACAATAGACAGTGTTTCAATATAGCACATGGGAAGACTCCTTTGATCATCTACTATGTAGGCCTTCTTTGTCCCTTACATATTGCGCATCAACCAAACCTGATATTAAAGGTTATGATAGACACATTCTTCATAGAGAAAATTAAATAAGCTACCAACTAGGTCTAGCCTGAACTACTCAGCATGTTTTTGAGTTTGGATAGTCGTTTATTTAATTTTTTAATATAATGATGTAGGTTATAAATTTAATGATAAAATTTATCAAAATATATTAAAATAAGTTAAAAATAACTTATTAGAGTCATAGTTTATTTGTTAAAAAATTATATATGAAATTTTATAAACAAACCTTGTATTGGACACTACGCTAAAAATAAAATTTAAAAGCAGTTCTGCTTGAATTAAGAGAGCGGTTATTAGTACTCTAAAATCCTGTGCTATTCAATATTCTTGCATTTAAGAGAGTGGTTAAATAATTACTCCCATATGTTAACCTTGGAAAGCGGTTCCGCCCTTAATTGCTCTCAGAAGTAGCATTTAGAGAGCAATTAAGCGCCAAACTGCTCTGAGACTTGAATAGTTTGGGAGAGAGGTTCTTCAACCTAACCGCTCTTTAAAGGCAAGAAAAGAGAGCGGTTAAGAGTCAACCGTTCTCAGATGTCAAGCTTTTTGAGAGCGGTTCAAAAAGGAACCGCTCTCTTATCTATGACTTTTTAGAGCAGTTCCAAGATAACCGCACTCCAAAGTCCACTTTTAAGAGTGGTCTATTACGAATCGCTCTCTAAAGTCTACTTCTGAGAGCGGGCATTCATGAACTGCTCTCTAAAGTGTAGTTCTTATAGCGGTTTTTGGAGAACTGTTTTTTGAAGTGTTATTATGAGAGGGGTTTTTGTTGAACCGCTCTCTTAAATGTAAAATAATTTTGTCTGAGTTTTAATAAAATTGACATTATCCCAATTTTTCGCATATCTAATAAACCATATTATTCAAAATAGTGCAAACAGATTACAACAACCTGATATACCACAAAGATAAACCACATCCACATTACATTTTATTAATCAAAAATCAAATAAATTTTGAAACATACGAATATCTATCATTCCAAAGTATCAAAATATTAATACATAAAAAATGATGAATATGTACAGATACAATTACAGAGAACCACAATTAAAAAGGCTCAACAATTTATACAGTTTTGCCTTATGAATTTACAAATATGACTAGGTCTTGTAAAAAAACAGCACTAAGAATCAATTGTGCTTAATGTGTCCTTTAAATATCTATGGTATAAATATGCACACCACTCCCTTTGCACTTGATGAATTCTGTTGTCAAGAAAGGTTGGTAATTGAAACTCTGGAAAATACTGAAAAGAAAACAAGTTACAAATCTTAGTTATATTAAATATAATCCAAATGGCCACACACTATCCTAAAAGAAATTGAAATGATATATCAAGATTTTGGATATGCAGTCCTCTTACA